GAATACGACTACATGGCCTTGATTAAGGGAGCGATACTTGCCTTGTATGGGATACATGACAAGAAAATGGAAGTAAAGCTGTATAAAAACACAAAGACCTTTACAGGAGCAAAAGCTTGAGCAGAAATCCAAAGAGCAGTAACACAAGGTCTTTAGAATCTTCAGGTTTTGTAATGTTAAGTGAGAAATTAAAAAAATTAAATTATGTGTACATAGTAATCAGTACAGTGCTGGTGTCCTCAACATAAAAAAGACATGGAACTGTTGGAACAAGTCCAGAGGAGGGTCGTGAGGATGATCAGGGGACTGGAGCACCTCCCATATGAAGACAGGCTGAGAAAGTTGGGGCTGCTCAGCCTGGAGAAGAGAAGGCTGCGTGGAGACCTCATAGCAGCCTTCCAGTATCTGAAGGGAGCCTATAGGGATGCTGGGGAGGGACTCTTCATTAGGGACTGTAGTGAGAGGACAAGGGCTAATGGGTTAAAACTTAAACAGGGGAAGTTTAGATTGGACATAAGGAGGAAATTCTTTCCTGTAAGGGTGGTGAGGCACTGGAATGGGTTGCCCAGGGAAGTTGTGAATGCTCCATCCCTGGTGGTGTTCAAGGCCAGGTTGGACAGAGCCTTTGGTGACATGGTTTAGTGGGAGGTGTCCCTGCCCATGGCAGAGGGGTTTGGAACTACATGATATTAAGGTCCTTTCCAACCCTAACTATTCTATGATTCTATTTGGCAACTACATGATGACAAAGTCAAAATAAAAGCTAGGAAGTCAGGTTAGGAAACACAGATTGCTGATGTTCAGGTTGCTGGCAAAGTATGTTTCTCAATAGCATTGTATAATAGGTAGCCAAAAGGAGGTCATGACCTAACATGCCACTCTAATGTAAATATAACAGATTCTAGAGACACAGTAAATACTTACCTTCACAGTTAAATCTGTGTTGAAATATTAAGAACATATTATATAAATGTTCCTAGGAGTTCATAAAAACAAAGCCTACAGAAAATACACATATATATTCCATGTGAGGATCTTTTTATCTACAATTCTACAATGATGCTCCAGTACTATGAGGGCACATATTAATAAGATAATTACATCAGGACTGTAAACCCACATCTTTCATAAGTGAAGTAAGTGCCATCATATCTCTGAGCAGCTGAGGTGCCCAGCACATGAAACACATGACTTCCTTTAAAACCAAACTTTGAACTTTCGTCAGCTTTTGTCAATAAAAACACTAAAGGAAAGAAACTCAATCTCAACACAACTCAAATCTCATGTTCCAACACAACTCAAATCTTACTTTATCAAGAATCCTTCCCCACCCAGAATTACATGACTATTAGCACACTGCCTACATTTAAGCTGAAATTTATTTCTTAACACACTACTCGCAGAGAACAACTCAAAAAAAAGAATCTTTGCAAAAATTGTATCCATGAGCCTCTCAAAGATTTTGTTTGTTTACTAAGATCTAATTGCAAGTGTCTATTCCAGATTTGTTCTGATAGAGTAACAATTCAGAACAATCAATTAACTGCTGTGTACTCTAATCATTAAAGTGCATGCCATGAAATCCTAGATACTCATTTACCCAGGAAGCACTCAACTTTTTGATAAAAGGTTCATTCACACGCTCAAATTTAACATAACCAGCTATTAGTTAAGTCTGTATTCATGTTTCCTTGCAGACAGCAAGCCAGCAGCTATTGCTTTGGTCTCAAAATGAGAACAAGAAGACTCATTATCAGGGTAACACATTCCTTCAAAGTAGACTACTGGACTAAGAAGCTGAATAGAAAAGATGCAGGGACAGATCACATCATCTCCATTTATAACCTTATTCTACCGATATTTAAAGTCTCAAAGCCTGTCACAGGTGGAGATAGTAACCGGGAACCTTCACATAGTCCTGATAAAGGAAAACCAGAGTCTGAACACTTGTCATAGGAAGGGAATTTAGAGTAGACAGGTAAAGAAAAGAAAAAGCAATAAAATAACACACATAACTGGAACAATATCCAGCTCAAAATATATCAACAACATACTTCACTATCAATCCAGACATGAGAAAAATAAAGGAAGGCTATTCAGAATCTATATTCTTTAATGTTACTTTAATATTCTTCAGAACTACAATAAAGTGATATTTTATAAGTGACAGAGTGTTGTAACACTGAAATGTCTTACGCTAGATTACCTCATCTGTTACCACAGACATTGTAGCCAAAGAAAAAAAAAAAGAAAAAGAAATCAGCTAATTCTTAGGCAATAAACATTCTTGTCATTCATTATAGGCTTTTAACCATATTCTGTTAATTCTCAGTTGGTTTTAGACATCCTCTTGAAAGCTGCTTTACAATCTGGCATGCAACACTACATAAAGTAGTTGTAAAATATTGACATTAACATTGTATTTTGCATCTTGTTATGTCTGACAAAAACAAAAGACCAGATGTTTTTGCTTTCATATAAAAATAGATTAGCTATACAATTTAAAAGATGTCCATGACTTAGTTAAGTAGAGAGCTTGAGCGTATTTCTTTTATAAGAAGAAAGTGCATTAACTGTAATTAAAACAGACATCAATCTAGTAGGTAAATGAAACAGCACTTTTGTAACATTTATGGTTATTTAATGGACTTTACTGGGTCAATGTTGCTGAAATTTCATCTGTTAAAAGATGCTACCTATGTTTATCAACTAGTTTTAAAAAATAAATATTACTGCAGTTTTTTATACATTTTGAGATTATTATATTGAAACTAGAAAAGAAAGCTATTCTACTGATTTATGTCAGAAATAAAGTTGAGATTTTCACTGCTAACTCAAAACACACTACCTGAGGGATTCCATAACAGTTCATAAAACGTCTTTGTTTTTAAAAGGTATGGTCTGTGGTATATATTTTCTATGAAGAAACAGAGGAACACATGTAGCATCAGATGTGTGTACTTTAAGAAACTCTGGAATGTGAAATCTAAAAGTCCAAATAAAGCAGGTGGTATAATTTGGGGGGGAGGACTGAATTTGAGTTTAATGACATTACCAGGTTATCCTACCAGACTAATTCTCACTCACTGCATGACTTCAATGAAGCTCTCAGTCCTCATGCTGATTTCGATTTAGCTCAAGTGCTATTTGATGTGTTTCATCTGGAGTTTTATTCACTTCAAACTACACTTCATTTAACCAAGCTGCTGCTGTACTCATTTGTTTTTCTACTTTATTACCCGCAAATTGGTGTTGCTTAGTTTAGATAAATTGATGGAATAAGTTAATCTTATATAATTATTTCACACTGTTAATAAATAAATAAGCTTTAGAAAGATAATCTATCACAGGGAAAAATGTGAGCAAACTATTAAAATTATTTTAAAATATGCTAGACCACAGTAAGTGCTGGTCTTAGAAGATCTGCTAGTAAGTGCTGATAGATCATTTGCTATTTTAAGTCAGGACCACTCCCCTGCCTCCGGACCCCAAACTACTGTTTGCTTTTATTTCTCTATGTTATTAGTCTACCATGCTCTATTTTCCAGCTGGGCACACATTGTAATGCAATGTGTTTTTAAGAGAGAGAAAGTGAGCAAGACAGAAAGCATGAGAGAAACAGAGAATGGCCGAGAAAGGGAGAGAACACTAGCCCAAGACCATGCACACAAGAGACAGAGCATGACGGCAAGCATGCAACAGCACATGTGGAAAAGTGTAAGAAACTAAGCATGAGCAAGCAAGAGACTGAGTGCAACAAGCACAAGCACACACAAAAGAGAGCACAAGGGCACTCATGAGAAAGCACCAGCACTTGAATACCATAAACTTGTCAGATGACAGACTTTTTCCAACTACTTTTCATCTCTAAAATATTATTTTTGTTTTGCATACCTAATCATGGGTTTTATAATGTACTAAAGAAATTTAAGATTACCACCAAACATTAATTTATTTCTTCAGTTTACTAACAAGGATCACTGACCAGAGCTTAGTGTTAAATGTCAGGTCACGTCAGGAAGGGCTGTCAATCCTACCAGAGTACTGAAGTACTCTGATTAGTGCTGATTATGGGTCATCCTGGTAACATCTACTGTTTTTTAGCAAACTGCCATAACAGAACACCAATTAATTTGAAGTAGTTAATACTTTTCTAAACTATTGATGGAAAATATGAAAAAGTCAATTAGGCTGCTACCACCTGGTGGTGTGCTGATTATGCTAAAAACCTCATATTTAACACGGTATCACAACGTATGAGACATAAACTAGTATATAAACTTTCACAAACAAATGTTACAAATTAGCTATACAACACAGTGTTTGAAACCAAAGTATTTAGCACATTAACCTGCTTTTCTGTTATCTTATTCTTTTATGTAAGATTCTTTATATGGATTTAGTCATAAGGTAGTCTTTCAGCAGATAGCTACTGCTCAAAATGAGGGATAAAGAAAACTAATGTCCTGCCCAAAGTACTGCCAATACACATTTTCATTAAAATACTTTTTATAAATACAATTTTTAATTAATAAAAACTATTACATACTGACATTAAAGTTTACAAGATTTAACCTGTAGAGATGAATTTAAAGCCTGAATTTCTGTGGCATTAAAGAAAAAGAAAATTATACAGCTCATTTCATAAAAAAGCACAGAATTGTTTTCAGAACCTGATCACAATGTTAAAACACTTCCAACGATAAAGACCAACAGAAATAAAAGTCTAGAAGAGACTGTCTTTTTGCAGGGCTGTAGTGTTTTGGGCTCCTCCCCCACATTTTTTGCTTTTTATTTTGTTGAGTGTAAAACAGTGTCCAAGTTTCAGCTATCCTTACAACGAAATTTGTTATTCATAACAGACTTAACAGGAGAATATGGCAGAAGAGACGGCAAAGTTAAGGGATTTATAAGGAGCCTGGTGTTTTTAAATCATTCATTAGAAAACCCAAAATAACTGAGTACATTACTTAAATAAACTGTATATGCTTAATGCTCACCAATATTTGGGAAACTTGACCAGCTTGCCATAAACCGCAGTACTGAATGAGGGAATAACCGGAACAGGGATGCAGTACAATCCTTTACTGTCCAAAGAAGTCAGTGCTGCTTGAAAACCAAATATCTGAAACAAATTGGGTTGGTCAAAGGGTATACTATTGCCTGATTAGATTACTTTCAATTTACTTTTACAATATGATACACACATTTTTAAATACAGTCAACTACGACATAAACTGTGCATTATTTTTAGATACTTTATTTTCCCCTCAAACACAAACATAACTACCCAAATCTACGTAAACAAATGTCACAACAGGAATGCATATAAAAAGTATCTTAGAATCATAGAATAGTTAGGGTTGGAAAGGACCTTAAGATCATCTAGTTCCAACCCCCCTGCCATGGACAGGGACACCTCACACTAAACCATCTCACCCAAGGCTTTGTCCAACCTGGCCTTGAACACTGCCATCTTCTTCACTCAAAAAATAAGGGTTAACTGTGCTCTGAATTTAAAAAAAAAAAAAAAAAGCCGATTTATAATTTACTAACTAGAACACATTATTCGATATCCTTTAAACTGCAAATTGCACATTGCCTTTCATATAAAATAACTAATTGTTTGTAATTATAACAACATGGGCCTAAAAAAGTGGTATCTAACAAAATTAGAAGCTTCCCTTAACAACCTTTTTTCATATTAAGAGCATCTAAAGAAAGGTTCAACAACTATTCTTTATGATTTTTCCTCGTTCAATTTGGAAAACAAATGGTATTAACTTCTTAACATGATGTATCACGATTCACGTAAGAACAGAACACTTTGGCCTTTATTAAAGCTAGCAAATAAACCCTATAAAAGTCAAAACTGAAGGCCCCATTTCGCAAACACTGATCAAACAACTGGTAAAAATTTTCTGAATAGAAAAAAATCCTCTCAAACTGAAAAATATACAGATGATTTGCAATATTGCCATCCCAATCACTTTAAATGAGGTAAACATGTCACCCAGAAAGCTTAAAGCTTGCCATAAAATCCTGAGACAGAATCTGTTTTATGCAGGTAGTAAGAATTTCATCGTTTAACTCTCTATTAAGAGATCAGCACAGAAGTGAATGGATAATTGGGAAAAAAAAAAAAGAAAAAAGTAAAATTAACAGTAGCAGTAGTAAATATTTACATTTTAGTAGCACTCAAAAGGTTTCGAACAGACTGAGCACATCCTAAAAGGTTGGAAGGCCTTTTTTTTTAAACTCCTCTTGAGATTCCACTTTTTTGTTCTACTAACATCTCAAAGCAATTTTTCAGGAGCTTCTTAATCTCCAACCTCACAATAAAAATTCTTCTCATATAATGGAGCTTTAATTGAGAACATTCAGAGGTTTTTCCTCTTATAATGAAAAAAAAAAATTGGTAACGGTTTTTGGATGCACACCTTCACCATCATGGTTTTGCTCTATCAATACTGCTAGAAGTGATGTTTTTTCCTCATAACATCCCATAAAGCTTCTAAGTGTAATTCACTGACATCTACATATTCTATCAGCACTATCCTAGAAGAGGGAAAGGCTTCTTTCCAAATTATTTTAACTCAGCCTTGCCACAAAGACCTTAGGGCTTCAGTCTGCATAGTTCCTTTTTGTGAAGTTCTGTTCATGTTACAAAACATTTGGCTCAAGTCAGAAGCAGCAATCCCAAACAATGACATTCTGCAAAACGTGTTCATTCTACGTCCTTTCAGATAAGCTGAAAACCTTCTCCCAGGAACCCTGCTAACACTCAGGATTATCTATACTTGTATTAACTTTTTCTCAGCACACTGCAGTAAGAAACAGATCTCATGCCTTTTACCTTCAGATAGCAGTGTGAGTAACAGTAATGGAGCAGGTTGTCAGACGGTTGGCCAAGGCTGCTGACCTTATGCACCAATTGCTCGGCATACATCGGCACTGAGTGCTCCAGGTTAACCTTATCCACCAAAATTCGGATGGAAGGTAAAGGCCGCAGGGGCTGGAAGCTTGCAGCATTTAACTGGCCACTTACATTCTAAGGGAGAGGAGAAAAAAAAATGCAATTATTATGCTAATATGTATTTTCTATCATATTTATATATTCTTGCCTTCCCACACACTCAAGGAAATCTACATGTAATAAAGTGCTTATAGATACCATGGCCTTACAGTCATTATAATATGTATCTTTACAAAAACATTTCTTCAAAGTTTAAAATCCAGAATTGTATTGGTCATCAGTGTCCAGGTGCTGGCAGCGAGGGAGCTGCGGGGGGGGGGCCTCTGTGAGGGGAGACCAGAAGTTGCCTTGTGCCAGACATGGCCAGTTCCATCACAAGGTACATCTGAGCCCATCAGCACCTCTGTGGAAATGTATTTTAAAAAGCTAAAAAGAGCAGACAGGCTGAGAGGAGTTAGGGAAAAAAAAAAAAACAAAAGTGAGAAACAGCAAGGTCAGAGAAGGAGGGGGAGGAGGTGGTGTCCCAGGCAGAGGAGCAGAGATTCCCCTGCAGCCCATGGAAGAGACCACACACAGCAGAGCAGACCTCCCCACTGCAGCCTGTGGAGAACCCCACACTGGAGCAGGTGGATACACCCTGAAGGACCCTGTAGCCTTGTGCAGAGCCCACACTGCAGCAGACTGTTCCCTCAAGGTCTGCATCCTGTGGGAAGGACTCACACTGGAGCTGGAGAAAAGCGTGAGAAAGATGGAGTGGCAGAGATCAACAGTTATGGACTAACCACAACCTCCCTGTGCTGTGGGCCTGAAGATAGAAAAGTCAGGGAATGAAGGACTGAAGTTCAGCCTGTGAAAAAAAGGGGATGGGGGAAAGAGTTTATTTTGATCCCTGTCTTTGTTTCTCACCACCCAAATCTATTTTAATTGGCAATAAATTAATTGTCCCCAGGTCAAGTTTGGTTTGCTTATAACAGTAACTAGTAAGTATCTTCTCCCTCATTCATGATCTCAACCCACCCTATTCTCTCCCCCTGTCTTGCTGAGGAAGGAGAGCAGGACAGTGGCTGGGTGAGCACCTGGCAGCTGCCAAGGTCAAACCACTACAGAAATAGCGAAATTGAAATATTTTGTTCTATAAAATATTTGTTTGCATTTTTATCCTTTCAAAGCACTGTCACGAAACGTGCTGATCTAACCTTTACACTGTCATATATTATTATGCATTCACAGTCACCCCAGACACACCCAGGAGCAACCTGCTCCACTTGGGCTTGCTTTGAACAGGACTTTGGACTCCTGGAGATCACCTCCAGAGATCATTTCCCATCCAAATTACTTTATGGGTCAAAAAACTGTATTAAACTTGTATCAAATTAGGACAATAAGTTGATGTGTGCATGACTTCCAATCCAAAATTCAAAATTACTATTTTGAATATGCTTGGCTTCACCCATTATAAAAACACCATCTGTCCACGCCCATAAGGTGAAAAGCACCGCAACCCACTGGGCTACTCCAGGCTGAAAGGAAATAATACTTCCATTAGGCACCCAACATTGTCCCATCCTTTAACACTTACAAGCCTATACCCTAATACATCAAGAGATAACAGATAACCAGTTTCCTCACTCCAGACAGCAGTCTAAATTTTAAAGATACAAACCTTAAGTATACTTACTGAATGACACATGCTTAACATTTTATATATGCTGCAGCCTAGAAACTAATGAATCAAGTGAAGTATTAGTGTATATAGTGTATTTCGATTCACCAATGAATACGGCTATACAAGCACACTGTAAGAAATACCATAAGAGTTTTGTCCTCTGTGCTCTTGCACATACACAATCATAAATCACATCAATACGCTGTAAATAAGCACATTCAATAAGAAAATACAGCACAAGTCGGTGCTCTCCTAGTCAGCATGTATCTATTACGTTATCAAGGTCTTCATTCCTTCCATCATCTAATACTACTCAAATCTATCTCTAAAACACAAACAAAAACCCCACAACTTTTTCAAATGGTTTTCATCTTTCTTACAGATAAATGCTTCAAAAATATAGTTATTTTCACAACACCTTCAATTTATACATGACTCGACAAGTCTAGCTAGTTGCTGTACAAAGCACTTGTCTTGGGTATCTGAAGTTAAGGCTCCTGGACACTGAACTGATAAGCAATGTATCTGGCACAGTGAGAAAATTTAAATGAAATAGCACACGTTGATATAAAGATCTGAATAAGTATCTGTGAATACTTACCTTCTCACCCATGATTATTGGTATCAAGTGGTCTAGTAAATTGAATTCTGCCACAGGGATTATAATTGTACACTTAAGAACAGTGAACGTTGTAAGTCGAGTGGGAATGTATTCCTCCAATGATGCTACCTCTTCTGAACTTGGTATAGCTCTATTTCCATCCACAATATCTACAGTAAATCAAGATTATATACGATTGATTAAATATATAAAGCATATCCTATAGTTGCTGTTTCAGAAATGGTTAGGGACTAGCAAAAAATTGACAGCTTCCCCCATGCCTTTTATATTTAATAATTTTATCCCACACTGGTTCTACCTAAGGCTAATGCAACCATAAGTGGATTTTTCTTCCTTTGAAATCTGAATAGTTCTTTCTTAGAAATTAATCTTGACAGTTTACCATTGCTTGTTTCCATGTATTTTTACCCTACATAACTAGCATTTCAAATATATACATACCACCAGGGACACTTTCTTCTCTAAGACTCTGAATTTAAGCTAGAGTTGCCAAAGAAATAAGCCCTCCTTAAGCCCTCCACGGAGGCTTGTGATTGAAACAAATGGCCTCCAAAGCATCTGAAATTATCTCAGAGGTATTTCCAACATTGTGGGGGATAACACAATTAATTTTATCATTTAGATTTTGCTCTTTGGACTCATAAAATTCCTTAACATATTTGGAGTTCAACTATTTGGAAGTCACACTTTCAAGAGCACTGAATTTAGTCTGGTTTAATTCTGTATGTATGCATATATGCAATAGGAGCAAACCTGGCTTAGTTCTGCTGTATGGCTCGTATTCATGTTCCAGAGCACAAACTATCATTTTCATTATCCGATGTACTGCACTGCTGTCCAGTCGAAGACTGAGTGGGCCCACAATGAGGCATTTTGTAGACATCTCCTGAACATTTCCAAAATCTTCACTCTTTGCTGAAGAAATGTCTTGCTGATTCCCAGAAACTATAAGAAGTTTTAGAAATGACAACAAATTATACCAAACAATTGGACATACTAAAATTTATCAGCTACTTTTGTTTCAAATCCTGTGATCACAGACTTATACGTACAGAGAAAATACAGCAATGCAAATCGAACACATAAATATACTGTGACTGGTTTAACATGCTTAAACAAACATTATTCCTTTCAATGCAGAGCAAACAGGGCAAGATCCTGCCCTGCCTCCAAGCACAGCACAACTTAGGAATGTTTCCATTAACTCTGCATCTCTAAGCTTGTGATTCTCTGAGGTGTCCAGACTTCTGTGGCAACTTACAGGTGCCAATGACAGCCGTGCTGTTCAAAACCTTCTAGAGTTTATCACAAAGGTATCAATCCCAAACAATCATGGAAGAGGTGTGTTGCAGAGACACTACAGATACGGGCCTTTCAAATGTTTGAAATGCTGGTACCTGGGCTACAATAGCAATGAAAATCACACACAATTGCACTGTCATAAACCAGACTGACAACTGAAGATAAACCCTTCCTCTCATTCACTGATTAGGTAAAGTATGGTCAGTGAGAATAAAAAAAATCTTTAATTATTATGTTTCAGACCATTTTTAGAAGGACTACCACAGAGAATCTGGACAGCACATACTCCTTAAATAGCACAGTACACCATAATCCACCTGGTCAAAGCTGTGACAAAGAAGAAAGCCAGGAAAGGTACAGCCATTGCCATCAAATTCACCCTGGTTTCCACAATATAATACACCTGCAATTGCAGTGATGTCCCTTTGATATGCTCTCCTTGTACTCACGATCATGTCATGACACAGCAACCAAAGACTGTGTAAGCACTGGACTGACATTTCCCTGATGATCCTTCTCAACGGCAATATTTTTCAAGTGATTTGCAAGCTCTTACCCAACACAGATCTTGTACACCTACTCAGTGAAAGACAGATCCCATCCCTTCCTCTTTTCACCAATATGCCTTGTACAGATCAACCTATTTCCTTCGATAAATCAATAACCTCCTGCTTTCCTGTCACAGTTACAAACTAAACACACCTGTAGAGAACTATGACCCAAAACCACAGGAAAATCTGTCAATTCCAAATTCACATTATACCATCTTCCTCACTTACACGATCTGCCTCTACTAACGTAAACAGCAAGACAAGCTCGGGTTATCAGATTGGGCAGTGGGAAATGCAGCTGCTGCAGACAGCTGACCTACCCACTTTGTCAAAGCGATGCAGGATCTGTCAACTTCTGAGTAGCTGAGGCTTTGTGGTTAAGCAGCCTGGCATGGTGTGCTTCACAACTTCAAGGTAAATCTTTGAAATCAAGTGGAAGAACATGTTTTACTTCCAGTTGCCTGTGAGGAACCTAGCTGCCTCTCACCCTTCAGGGGACCACTTCCTTTTCCCATCCTCCTTTCCTGTACTAATTCAAAACAGTGTTTAATGGTGGAAGTGAGCTTGGGGGAAAAGGTAGAAAAGATAAGACTGGCTTTTTTCCCCTTATGATTGAATCATACTCCATAAAATGTTGTTGCTTCTAAGGACTGTTGAGGAGAAAGGTTCTGAATAAACCAAGACTATGCTGAATTTAAAACACACCTGCCCTAACATTCTGTAGACTCAACAGAAGAATTAACTTGGTCCCTAAAAACCCAACAAAAGTTGATGATGAGAGCATTTATAGCCACTGCTTCCCTTAGTGATTTGTTTACTATTTCTAAGAAGAAAAAGGAAACTAGAAAAAAGAAGAGGACAGAAAGATACTACCTGATAAAATCTATTCAAATCTTCAGATGGAGCTGAACTTACAACCTTTGTAACAGATCCTGAAAAGGACAGGTTTTTTTTAAAAGCCAGCATCCAGCAGGCTGACAGGGTATGCTTTAATTAATGTCTAGCTAACACACAATTTTGTGTTTCCAATTCTATACAGTATCTAGTTCAGATGAATGCTACCAAGAAGTCTAAAGAACATTATATTACATTACATTAAAAATATCAAGGTCAAAAGCCTTTAGAAGTAATAACAGCCTACCTTTTCAAAAGACTCACTTGTATATATTGTATGTATATGAATAATATACTGAAATGACAGAATATATACAAACGACTTTCTGGAATAGTTTCGTTTAATTTTAACTAAGACCAAAGAGAATGTGATAGAAAACCTATTAATTCTACAGAAGTAGATGAGCACAGGTTACTTTTGAAACTTCGCAAACACAGAAAGGAAAATAATTTCTGTTCACTGAGTATTCAGCTCTCAATAAACCGTATGTCTAACTGGAAAAAATTATCATCTTAAAAGGAGAGTGCTGCACAATAAACTTGCCACCAGTACAAGACGGGTACACATTATGAAGAAAATGTAACTTCAAAAGTACACCCCATTAGGCGCATAGGTCATGTAAATCAGTGATGAGGGAACAGATAAGCTACACAATGTTCCAAGGAAATTACTGTTTTGCACTGGAATACAAAGCAGAAAATGGAAAAATAAAGTTGGAAGGGAAGGACGGGAAGAATTCCAAAATCAAGACTACTGTTCAGGACTATCTGTCCTGTTTTCATTTAAAATACTAAAAGTGATTAATGCATTTCTGTAAGTGACAGATGAAACTCCTGAGGTTAATGTTATCCAGGAGGCACTTGTGGTTTAATCAGTAATCCTATGCTTCAGGAAAGGTTAAAGGTACAAAGAATGTGTCAAACCAAAATTGCCTTGACAGATAAAAATCTTACAATCACAGTAACTGCCTCCTATAACTTAAGTTGGGTTAGTTTTTTCAGGGGAAGGTGGTGTGCACTGATTGTAACTTAAACGTAGTTAATGTCAAAACAAGAAATAGTCAAATGCAAACTTTTTCAGAAATACTTTAACGCAGACACCACATATTAAAAATGTAGCTAGATTTACATTGTTTTCAAAATCTTGAGGGTTTTATATCTTCATTATAAAGAAATAATTTACACCTATTTGTTCATCTTCTTTTCAGTAACTATGCACTTGACTTGTAGAATGGAAAAATTAGCTAGAAAACTAGCAGAAAATGTCACATTTGCTTTTCTGAAGAACAGAACTATATTTGAAAATTTAAGATTTTAAGTTCCTGATTCTACAACCATTTAAACCATTAATTTAAAAATTATTACTCCATTCTTTTATGTAGTCAGGTAGCTGAAATTAGAGGAGTTATACTGAAATAAAAGCACACAGCAGCCAAGCTACATTTTGTGAGATGTCTTCTGGTGAGTGATGCAGAAAGTAAAAGCAAAGGCCCTGACAAAATAGACTGAAAGAAAGAGCTTTCTGAGCTCTGACAAAATAGACTGAAAGCAAAGCTAAGAAGGGGAAAAGACAGTCAGAAAATACCAGTAGCCTGGCCTGAAGGTTAAAAAAAAAAAAAATTAGTAAAAAAGTATTCCTGAGTTCAGCAATTTCTGAAAAGGGTCAGTTACAGTCAGGAAAAGCTGTACCATTACACATTACATTACACTCCTTGTGCATTCAAAAAAAAAGACAAAATACTGCACAAAATCAATCTTTCCTCATAATCAAATAGTCTGTGTGTTAAAATTTCTACAACAAAATACAAAAAGGGGATAAAGCTTACCCTACATCTTCAACTTTCCTACAGAACTTTTACACAGAACTTTCTAAAAAAGTTCTGTGTGAAATTAAACAGTTATTTCCTTATTAGAACCAGAAGTAGACTGCAGAAGAAGTTTGACTTTGTGTACATTTTCTCAGCTTCACATCAAACTCACAGTACAGAGAGGAAAGCCTCAGAGCCAGGAAAGAGCTGTTAATTTACCTAGTGTATCCCTCTACTATCAAAGGCAATAGCATCACCTATTTCTTTTTATCAGCTTTACATGATCCATACCCTAACCAAACTGGAAGTTTTTCTTACTTACTCCTTTTAAACTTAACATCCAACAAGCCCAGAAAACAAAAACAATTAGGAGTTGAGACTTCTTACATGCAAAAAACTCCAGATGAGTTGGACTAGGTCGTAAGGATAGATAAGAAGTTCAGCCACAAAATAGCAAGAAGTTCCCAACAGATGTCCACAGAAGTCGACTTCATGATAATAAACACTTAGGTGGGGAAGAAAGGATTGTTTAGGCAATAAAACTGCAGAGCAGCAGTTGTAGATGACAATCTTCCTGGGGGCAGGGGGAAATCACATCGCAATTCATGATAAAAATATCCATATAAAGATATATACATACTAATTGCTGACACATTAACTCATTTGTCCTGGCTTCTATGACACTCACAAAAGTAGATATACTTACTGCATTAAACTGCACTGTACTGTATTGTCTCAGATTTAGAAAAGAATTTGTAGGAAACTCAAAAATTACTTAGAGCTAGCCAATATCTATGTGTGCAAGTTTTAGGCTAATATTTGCTCGCAACATTGTTCAGACATGTATATTTAAAGATTAATTTTCTCATCCTTGCATTTTATTTCACAGAAGAAAATTACAGTCCTTTTTCATCTTCTACTCCAAGTAGATGATCAACTTCATTCTTCAACCAGGGTCTCCTAGAAGAGCTTTTCCTACCCCACCCCCAAAGTCAACAATGACAACAATTAAAAAAAAAAAAAATTTAAAAAAACATAGTTTATGAATTCACCACTACAAGAGAATTATGTTCAGTTTAGCGACTGATTATAAAAGATATCATTGTGATTAGTTATGTAAGTAATGAGGCAGGGAAAAAAAAGATCATAATCAACAGCTAACCAGAACAGCTAATCTCAACTATATCAATGAAGATAAAACCATTTCAATGAAGAACCTGATGTTAAATTTAAGGTAAGTTAGAGGACAGTTGGTCAAGGACCAGCTAGACAAGAAAAGTCTTTGTTTCTATTATTTAACATGGTAAACAGAGACAAAAAGGTACCTTTGCCACCGGTGCTTTCCATTGTGTACAAGTAATCCATGTAGAAAGCCCCAAACCTCTGCATTCCAGCTATCTCTGTGTACGCCTCCTACCAACAAAGCAAAGCAAACAAAGAAAACGTTGTATAAGGAAAGAATCCTGAGATTACCAACCGATAGGCTGGTATGAGTGAGATACATTCATGTTTGGATTTGTGCATCAACACACGGAAAGGCTTATCAAAACAAAGGACAGAGGTTATCCCCCAAAGAATTCACCTTCCAATAGGTAATGTAACTTCTATTTGAGGCCACACAAAGGCACATCCATAATTCCAGTGGACATGCCGACCAATTCATCAATAACAACTAGTTAATTAGTAGCTTTAATGGAGTAAATATTCTTCACTTGACCTCTTGCATCCAACAGATCTGTCTAATTAAATATACTGAAAACTGAAGCTCATTCATTCTAGCTTTTTTAAGGAATACTGTGGGTTTTATCTCTAAACAGTAGGAAACTTACTAAGAATTTATGTCATTATTGGGATGTATATATAACATACTCCATTACTACACAGCAAAGTTGCTTCCCCTCTTATAAATAAAAAAAAAAAAAAAAAAAAACAAGCAAACCATAGCAGCACTTAAGACAGGCCAAGGAAAAAGTAAAACTTAAAACTAAAACACACTACGGGAAATGTCTGAATATATGTAAGTACTTGTGATTTCGCTCCACCTATGAACACACCTGGAAGCGACCACATGGGTCATCACATCCAGTCTCTAATAACTGCAGACAAATCAGGGAATAAAAGTTTCCTGCACAATTTACAACAATAACGACTATCAGTGACTGAAAATTTGTCCCTAAAAAAGGCAGAACTAGCAAAACTTCCTCTAAGTAGACAACTGTAGCACACAGTCAATGAGATTAATATTGCCCAAGATCTGGTTTCCAAGACAGCTTCTTAATTTGAAGACCATGAACTACTTCCTGTTTGGGTTATAGAAGTACGTGCTGCTAAAGCTTGACCTTTTGCTAATATTCTCTCATATCTCTATTTTCTCTGCAGGTGTTCTGTAGCTAGTGCTTTTTGGAAACTATGGCATTAATCCATTTTTTTGAAACTATGGCATTAATCCATTTTGGGGGGGCAGGAGAGGTTTCTTTTGGACATGTCTTTGCAGTTTTCTTTTTTTTCTTTTTTTTTGGCCAGCTGCAAAGTAAGACTCAGTTAAATAGGACAAAGTAATGAAAATCAGTCTTCTAACAGTACACAAATCGAAATAATCATTAGAAATCCATTACAGAGCATTAGAAATATTTTTCTAAGACATATGTAACTCTCTGACCTTATGATGAGCAGCATCCAATATAAATTCTGCACGAATACTATTATTTTCTGGACTTCTGTAATCAAATAGTGAGTTGGTAAGGTAGGTCATCCCTTTTGCACTCAAATTTTCACCGCAATTAAAGAAGTAGGCCTCCTTTATGAGGTAGTAGAAATTAGTACGGCAAGGGAGAGAAAAAAATATAATCAAGTTAGCACAGCAGCTTCAGTTCTCTCATAACACACTACTAACATGGTAGCATCCCTCAAGAGCATATCTCACTATGAATACTGATAAGAAAACTAAAGTAATGTCATTCAAATAACACTCCAGTTCCTGACCATTCCCTCCCTATTTTCAAATGATTAAAAATGGCCTGAGCTATAATACAGAACATGCTAGATTCATTTGAACAGAAAAAATCCCCAGATCATTGTTACTCTAAATTCTGCCCCATCCTATTAACCATACATGAGCTTATCACAACATACTCCCATTTCACTGGCTGACCAACACCTTTCAGATATTTTCTCTCCTCTTCATAAACGGTTATTTCAGTGTATGACCTGCTTACTACTGAGACAAGGGGGGGGCACAAAATTGTAAAATGGAATATATAAACTTTTAGAATCAGTTTTAAGTAATGTTAAATTTGATGGCTTTGTAACAGTAGCAAGTGAAAATTACTGAGGTGCATGATACACAGAAAAAAAAAACAAGAGAGTACAGCTAGAGAACATACTGAGAATTCTTGTATAAGATAAACCATTATAGCTGACGTAGTTTTAGGCCCTATGACCTTAGTACAAAATGAATGTAAGAAGAACAGGCTAGAAGAACAGGATGCAAGGATAAGGAGTATCTGGGAATAGCGGGCGTCCAGGATGGGCTACAGTTAAACTAACTGATAAGTAGGAGGACAGGAGGATTATTATGTCTGTGGTGCTAATGAATCAATTAAACTGGTATAAGCATCTACTATGCGTGCTTCAAAGGCTATCTGGATATCTGATTTTGTCTTAAGAGACTGAAGCTCTGCTTCTACTTAAAATACAGATATTAATACTGTTTTACTCCTTCACTTGATATTGTTCTCACCAACCTTATTGAAAAATTAGGCAAAATAATTATTCAGTATTTGAGCCACACTTCTATTATCTTTATCGTACAGTATTCCCATATCTTTCCTTCAAATCTTCTGTTGATTTAAATACTTTGAAAGGTTTTCAACTGTTTTAATTCGTTATACAACATCAAAGTATGCAGATAAACAAAATGATGGGGAGCAGTGGGGTTGTCAAAAAAAGAAAAAAAGGTCTCATGTTTTACAGCTTCTCACTCTTGGATATTTGTCTTTCCAGCTGTAAGTAACAGACACTGATCTCTATATTCAAGTGACACATTCAAAAAATTTAAATCACAATTGGTAACAGCAGCCTTCCCAATTCTTGCAACCAAATATTTTAATGAAGCATACCAGAACTGCCTATTCAGCAAGTCAACTGACACATCAATATACTTACTTCATCGCTCCTAGTCATGTTCTCTTCAAAATCCTTAATTCCCATAATTCCTTTAAGGCACATAGCTTGGCAACCAACAAAACCTATTTGGCAATCAAAGAAAAGTTCACCTTTCATAAGGACCTAGTGAGGGAGAAAAAAAGTGATATTTTGAAGAATTCTGAAGAATTCTGCTCAACAGGAAACAGAAAAGACGGACAAAAGTGAACAAAATATGGTTAAGTTTATATATTTAACACTCTAATAAACAGCAAGTTCATCAAACAGGGCACTTGGAAGGAAGGTATTAGTCTGGTGTCTGATTACTATAGAGCTAGATCTTTAGAGAATTTCTATCTAAGTGATTATTACAACTAACACATCCAACACAGCAGAATATGAAAAATCAGTAATGAAGTAATTTCAAAATATTTTATTGGAAACTACTTATGGTATTATTTATAATGAATAAAAAAAAACTGTCAATGGAAAATTACCTCAACTGTGGTTCCTTCTTGTTCCCAGCATAAAACTTCTTTGGATTTAACTTTCTGAGGGCTGTAATAACTACTTTCAGCTTGCATTTCAGTGAGCTATGAAACAACAGGATAAACACCTTATATAAGTCAATATTAGTATTAAACAGCAGTAATGTCATTAATACACAAAACTGATGAAGACAAATTAAACTATGAGCCAAAATTTATTAACAAGCAGGAAACAGGTGCAGTTAAACAGCTGTAACACATTATCCATATTAGAACTTCTCATATTCAACTTCTGGTTGAAGTATGCCATAACTGAAAGTTTTAAATCCACTACAGTATTTTTAGTTTGCTTATTTAAAGAGAAACTATGTGAAAAGATGGAACAGATACACAGCTGCGTTATTAACATAGTATCAAATTAGCTTATAAATTGCTGTAAAAGTCCATAAATACATTATTTATTCTTCCCAGCAAATAATTAAACAACATGATAATATTAAGGAAGCATTTTCATTACAAACATACTCATTTTTGTTTCTCATCATGGGAAACATGTATTTATATTTCTTGCATGATTTCAATATAAAAATTTCAAGTGGCAAAACCCACATTCAGGTTTAAAAGCATAGAACCTGCAGCTAAAAAAAAAAAAAAAAAAGATAAAAAGAGACACAAAATAACGAAGGTGCCATGTTTTGCATTTAAAAATACTTGTTTATTTGTCCTGAGCAGCCTGAACAGTTCAAATTCTCAATTTTCTATAAAAATATCCACAATATCCACAACCTCTCATTATTTTCAAGAGTGGATACACATGGATGTTGTTTCAAATTAAAATTTTTTAATCCAAATGTCCAAGAAAATTGTATGAAGAAGAAAAAAAAAGTATCACTGATCACCCTTCAGCTGTGTGCAATTACTGTAGAGGAAAAGCAATTAATTGATTAAAAGAACTCAGACATTACAAGAATAATTTTCACCATTATCAAAAATGCTACATTTAATTTGGCATGATTTTTAGCTGGAATGATATCAACTGCTCAGAATGCTAATGCAGAAACTTGACCTTATTTTTTAACCAAAATATGAACCACAAATTAATTCCATACATTCTTTGCATGCAAGCAGAACAATGAAATCTGTTTTCCTCCCAACTGTCACCATATTAGTATCATACATCACATTTCAAATTTATAGAATGCAAGATGTTACATTTTAAGTAGTTTTTATCACTTCTTAATATAAAATGTGTAAACTTGCCAATGAAACATTAGAAAAGCCCAATGCAGCAAATCATATTCTAAAGAGAAATAAGTATTATTTTTAATGAGTTTTTTCATGTGAGGAAAGAGAGCACAAAATTACTACTGTATGACAACGCACAAAAGTAAGAAGATGCTGAGCCACGAAAAATGATAAATTTGACATTTGGTTGGTTGTTCAGATTTAAATTCAGGGTTTTTTAACTAAAGGAGGAAGAAATTATTTTCCATTATTTATTTTTAGCCTGGCTTTTCTGCTGTTTTGGTTTTTTGCTTTGTTTTAAACTATGGCTGAAGCAGACTAACACAAAAGAACAAAACTGAATGTTTGTGGAAGTTATATTTTGCAATCAAATTTGACAGAAGACTGAAGGCTAGCCTCCCCCACGGAATGCTTGCAAGTCCCAAAGTCACTTGTCTCATCCTTTCCGACAGTTGCTGAGCAGCTAAATGCTCTGCCAAACAAAAATAGCGAAGAGAAAGTAGCCATGAAGCCCCTTAAAGCACTCTCTTGTGCACAAATGACAAGCCAAACAGGCAACAAAGGAGCTGCTGATGGTACTGAGAGTATAATCATGCACATAAACATTATATAAGGATTATGAAAAGTACTGCTGTTAATCTGAAAGGCTCAAAGTCATAAAAATCAATCTTAGTTATCCTGCTTTTCATAGAAACGGTAGTATTTCCTGTTCTGAAGGGTTCTGGCCTTGATTTAACATATGTTTAATTGTACAACCAAGAGCCAGTTTCTACTATACAGTTCTGCATACAGAACTGCACGCATATAGTTTGGCATGTGAAAAGTATTTTGCTAATTCAGAAACTTAAATTTTTCATTTCTGTCAGTACATGTCAGTATCTTATTCAGACTTTCCAATAAGCTTATGCAAGGACTAGAGAGAAGCTCAGCAACTGTTTTGAGACTGGTTTGCAAAAAATACTCAAATCTTTCTCCACATACATAATTTATAGCCCAGAGTGTGTATGCCTTTTAGCCTTTTGTTTCTTTATTTCAATTCCAACCCATGGAAAATAATTTCAGTATTATCAATCTAAATGCATATTTGCACATATTACAGCTTAAAAAAAGAAAAAAGCACACCTATAATTTACAAACTATATGATACTAAGGCTTTTTCATAAAGAAATAAACAAACATCAGATAGAATCTGCAATAAATGTTCATAGAAAACCTTTTATGCTTTCTCTTCCACAAAAAAAAAAAAACCTAAGTAAACTAGTTTCTTTTTAAGATGAAAATGTTTGCGCTCAAATTCTAGCTCAAATGGCATAAACACCTTACATTGCAATAACAACACCATACCTTCAATGTTCACATTTTTTGTTATTTGTTAACGTAGTATTCCCTGTTTCAAGTCAAACAGTACACAAGCACTCAGATAACCTTTATGTGCTTTCTCAACAAGCCAAGTAAATCCTATAAAACATAGGGAAATACTTACCTTAAAAGTTACTGTTGCCTTTGTACAATAAAACCCAACTGAAACAATAGGATCCTTGAGGGATTGAGATTTCTGCTGATGCAGCATTGTTCCATCATCAGTTCCAGCAGAATCATTCTCTTCATCATCATAACTCACGATAGCAGGAACAAAAGACCAAGCCCAAGAAACCCATCCTTGTTGCTGGTCATCATCTTGATGTAAGTAAGGATCTTGATTAATATACTGCGTAGGATATTGCATTACTGAGCTTGTTTCATCTTCCGCACCTTTTAAAATGAAAACTAAGTCAAATTTCCAATCAATCATGCTTGAAAATTAATTTATTATACTCGAAATTGTAGTATGTGAAATTTATCTGGGACAGTATTCCACATATCAGATACTTGATTTATGATCATAGAAAATACACAAATTTTAAATTTCTGAATATAAATTTGCAAACACTTGTTTGATTCATTAACATTTTTCTCAAAAAAAGGTCTTTGCAATAGTTCTATTATCATACATCTGCAGTAAGACCAGAATTTGTCATGTTTTCAAGACGACTTCTAAATAATGATCTACTACAATCTTGTCGCTTTCAATTTTAACGTTAAATTAAAAAAGGACCTCAATTGTAAAAGCCCTGATGAGGTAAAAAACCTTTCTTTAAAGTAACTTTTCAGGTATTCAAAGGTACAGGTTTATCTAGACTCAAAAAAAGCTGGTATGCCACTTGCAAGACAAAAAAAAAATATTTTTTTTTCGCAGAAGACCAACAGTTGAGATAACATTTAGGACAAAATATGGGTTTTCCAAAAGATACAAGTCTGAGATTCATGATCCAAATCAGTAACACGGTGCATGTACAAACAGCACAATTAGCTTACCCTATCTGGCTTCATCACCACTCTTATACGACTCCTGCGGGGTATTAGCTACTTCAGAATTACCATTCTGAATGGCACAGTACAGGACAGATACAGTATCAAATGTATTTTTTATCCAAGAACAAAAGTAGGCATAACCCCTATACCCTGTACTCAGAGATACAATTCCTATGCATTTTAAAGTTTTTACTCTTTAGTCAAATTAGTCTTAGTCTTTTAGTCTAATTATTTATACACTTGTGCAATGGGAGAAAGCGCATGAAAAACCACTCATAAGAATTCCCTGCACATACTTAGAGGTGAGGACACCTTCTCCCACAAGGGCAATGCAAGCTTCCTTCCTGCTCTCTTTACAAAGCAGTGTCAGAGATCAGATTTCAACCCAACTGTAAATCTCGAAACACAGGAAATACAGAAGAGGTGCACACAGAGCCTTGGAAATGGCCAAGACTTACTGTCAGATATAGAAGGAAAAAAAACTTGATAAAGAGCATAACTAGAGTAGTTTAACCTAGACTATAGCTGGCAAGTGCAGAAGAAATGGTAGAAGGTCTGCCAAAAGAGAGGGAAAAAAAAAGTGGAGGTGTAGGACCTGGGTCATGCGTAACATTCAGCCATCACTTAGCATACCTCTTGCTGCAGGATGTGTACACACAGAGACAAAAGTAAAAGATGCCAAATAATAGTTTGGTTTATAACATTATTTAGTATTTTGGAAGCCAATATAAGAACACACAAGCGCAGCTAGACTACAGTGGAGGTATCTATATACCATGAGAAAGAAGACAGAAAAAGAGGAAGATACACCTATCTTCCATCACTAAATTGAAACTACTACAAACACTATGTATTAAACAGTCCAACTTTGGAACAAACACACATCAGTCTAGTGAGCAACCCACAAAATCCTCTAAATACTTCAAAGTAATACTGACTGTGTTAGTTTGCAACCAGGTAAGGCTGATCCAGCTAAGACTGTAGCTACCTAAATACAAGAGCTGGCACTAGGGGAAGAGGGAGGGAATACGTCACCATCCCTGCTGGCAATACAAGGCATTTTCATCCGGTTGAATCAACCATGAAACTGCCTAAATGAAACTTGGTAAGTACTTCAAGAACACAGCTGTAGATGTTCATTCTTGTATCCCTAAGTAATGTAGATATTAAATTCATTTCCTCATCCATATTTTAGCTGTTATAAATTAAAGAAGTGACTGCAAACTCACAGCTAGGACACTATAATTAATCATGAATACAAAAAAAAAAAGGGATAAATCATATTTAAAAAAAAAAGAAAAGAGAGAGACATTTAGAAGGAGCAAGAGTTATCTGACTGATAACAAATGCTTTGGTGCTGACCTTGAGAATGCAATAGCCCTTAAATCTGTCCTTGCAGCATGACCTGTCCTTGGAGAATCACAAATATAACACCACATATGCTTTCAGGGTAATAAATATTTCCTGTATGACTTTCCTTTGCATGTATTTATGATACAGGGAGGAAATAATACGAACACCAGCAGAAACTAAAATCTTATGCACCAAGCTCTAGTCTGAAAGGCATTCTGTATCTCCTTTTAAAAGCAAATGTACATCCAACACTTTCTAGTTGAAAATCTGATGCCATCATAATTGTAGCACAAATTACAAAGTCACACGCTCAAGTGACTGTATACTGATACATTTAAGAGGTATCACACTTATTTTGTAGACAACAACCCACTACAGTGATTCGTAGCCAAGGTACCAGTACTGCAAAACAGTTAAAACTTCAAGATTTCTTATTTCTCCATTGACAACATAATCTTCCTTAAACTCAAACCTCTGGGTCCTACTACACTAGAATACACTCCCACCTTACAGACAACCGTAAATCCAGGGAAGAAATCATAACTCCCTTCTACTACCAAGTTGCACAGTCCACTCGATATGGAATGAGAATGTAATATTATAAAAAACCTTCAGGTTCAACTCCAGAGAATCTGCTTTCTCATGGTATGTATCTCCATCTAGTTAAACAAACTTCCCCAAGCTTCTGCTCCTAGTCTACTTGCCTTGTCTTACTGTAAATTGAAACTACCAATAAATAATGATGCCACAACAATTTTGAAGTGCTGGAATAACACTAATAAAGTACTCCCCATGAAATTACTTGGTGGTGCTAATCAATTACTTTAAAATTCCAATTACTTAAATGATATCCCAACCTCAATAAAATTCAGAGCAGATGTATGAGTTACTTAATGGTGACACACAAAACAAGTGGCAGTGATTTTAAAACACCAGAGCCAGGACAAGAGGTAGGAGATGGATTTTCTATTTTAATGGCAAAGGAGACTAAATAACGCGAAATATCACAACAAAAGGGCAAGTGCCACTGATTTGAGGTACAAATAACTAGGCAGTTAATATTAAAGTGATATGTAAGTGTAGATACCAAATAGGGAGAGGAAGATGTTAGTTATCTGACAATGCAAAACCAAAAAGTGTTTTTTTTATATCTCATACAAGTTCAAGCAGATCAACTGGAAATACACTTTGCTCATCGGAAGCACTAACAAAAAAAAGTTGCTTCCATTCTGCCATCTACATGAAACCACTTTTAAAATCAACAGCAGGAAAACTGTCTTGATACTTAAGCTCTTATAAGTAAAAACTAAAGGCCAACGTGTGACTCCTATATTTCAAAGATTTAGTCAGATTTTGAGGGGTCTCTATTCAAGAAGCATTAATGTTTTAATGGGATCTCAGCAACCAGTTACAATCCATTATTATAGATGCCTACAACAAAGTTAGTTACTGTCACACTATCAGACAGCTGCACAACGGATTGACTCCAAAAAGCCCATTCCAGAGGTGTCTGTCTACGCTGAATCTTCAGTCTGTTGAAATACAAATTGCAAGTATACCTACTGTTCCTGAAGGATACCAAAATATATAGGCAAAAAAAAACCTCCAATAATGGAGGTAGAAAAAGATTATAGGGGTTTACTGCACAGGTCATTTACCCCACAAAACACAGGAAAACATAAAAAGCTGAAATAATATTATATAGCCTGGTACAAAGATCATCTTGTATATGTCCATTTCTAACCCTTATGAGAAGACTGACAGAAAGCGCAGGGATGAGAAAAACACACAGGAAAATGTAACTGCACACATGACCTTTTTTCCTGACATCATTTCAGTCAAACTAGGGGTCATTTTCTCCACTATGTTTCTCCACTCCCCCACCCAAACCCTTTAACACAGGGCGCAGCTGCTTTTCCTCATCAAGTATTGATAAATAAATCTATTTCAGTTCTTCCATTTTTGTCCTATTAGAATACGGCAGAATCAATTCCTTCAACAACTAACGCTCACCTAGAATTTCTCAGTGTAACAAATTACTTGTACCTGGTTTTCTCAGTCAACTCAAATCTCATATTCAGCCCAAAGCTGACAATATAGTAAACTCATTCTCATGACCTGCTTTCTGTTCCATTGGTATCCAAAAAATTCCTCACACTACTGTTCCAACCACAGTTTTCAATAAGGAGCAACTCAGCCCATTAAAAAATGAGTTTCATAGGATCTATGCAACATTTTATTCTGTTTCCTGCTGTAGAAGTGTTAACTACTCGCATTCAAAGGCCTACTTTACTTTCACTTAGCTTTTTGAGAATAAAGATCATGATAAGGTCAGTGTGCTTTACAAATATTAGAAAATACCGTAACATTCCTTTGGGATGGAAAGTTACTGTTATTATTGCCATTTTACACCTGAAAAATACACTTCATATGCTGGAATCACATCTGCCATGGATTCCATTTCATGAAAGAAAATAAAAAAAACAAACCCTAAACTTCCACAATACAGATTCTTAAGGCAAATATTCAGAGTAGGTAGCACCAGAAACTCTTAAAACCACTCTCAGAAGCTCAGTAGCTCATACTGCTCATGATTCCAGCTTCTCTTATCTGTCCCAAGCTTCCTATTCAGCATCTCTTAACATCATCATGCAGACCCACCTCACCTGTCTGTCCAGCTGCCCTGCATCCCTCCCTCAGCAATGCAACTTTCCATTTCTAGTCCACTGTTGTGCACCCAACAAGTGCTAAATTTCTGCTTGAGCTTTTTCTGTTCTTCAGTCATTTCAGATCATTCTTTACTTAACCAGCTCTAGTATTTCAGCCTCAGATCATCAACCTCAACAGCTCTATACAACTAAATTCCAGTCTCACCCTTGCATCCTGGCTTCTTGTCCTCTTTCATGCCAAAACTGTTTACACGTCTAGTTACATTAGCAAATTTTCCACCACAAAGCAAAAGCTTATTCTCAAATCCAATCCTACCACAAATGCAACCACTGGTTCTCCCACAGGCCGTTGTCCAAACCCTTCTCACTTTTCTATCACTCTGCTTTGAAATACATCGATTTCCTCCTTTGCATTAGCAGGACAGATATCCAGGTCCACAATTCAGGTAGCCCTCTGCCCATCAGAAAAAAAAGCCCTGTCCAGCCCTGAGCAGGAGCATTGTCCAGTGTGCATACAGTATTAAGTGAATTTTTAGACCACATTAAAGTGAGTTTCTACCTGTATTTCTGACCTGTGATTTTATCTGTGTATTTTGAATGCTTTCAGCTTAAACAGAATGTGAGCAGACTTTTTCAGGTAGCAAAATACATGTTCACGACACAGGCTACCCTGCTGAAAAATCTCTAGGCCTTGGTATTACATTGGGGTATACAAGAATAAGCCAACTGCGGCTGGAATATTCTTAGACGTGTATAGGTGACTGATTTTATTATGTCAACAGCAACATAATAAATGTAAGTTCTGTCCAAAAGACTAAGAAGTTGTGATAACTGAACCCAGTAAATTATTTAAACTGGAAGGGTGGGGACTGCTTACGAATAAATACTGGGTAAAACTGCTTAATGAATCTCCAGAACTCTTTCAAAGAGTTATAAGAACACAATCTATGACGGAGGTCTGTACATTATTAAATTTAGGCACGATTCCAGTAGAATTAGTCTTGGATTTCATGAAGTGTTACTCTTGCAAAAAAAAAACTGTAGCTAAAGTAGCTCAGCAGATAACACTTGTCATTTAGTATTGGACTTGATCACTTTTTTCTTTTTCTTTTCAGAGAATAGTAGCACATTCAAAGTTTCTTCAGAAAAGCTCAAATCTGTGGTTGGAAAATTGGATAAGAAAGGCACCATGAAGTGCTAAGAAAGTGAGGGGTTTTCCTTCTCGGACACAGACATAATATGAAGTCAGAAGAAAAAAGAAGGTCACAAACTGATGGCATGGGTAACCTGATTAATGTCAATCTGGCACTCCTGCTTAACTGCACTGAACAAGGGGGGGTAAATAATTAGGTATTTAGAAGTTTTATTTATGTGTGTGTATGTATGCCTACATATGGTATGAATGCACAAATGGTATCAGTTTTAGCCTCTATGTGGCAAAACATTTTGCAGAAAAGCCAGAATTGAACTGTTTCTACAGTTCTCTAGCTTCGCAACTAAACATTGTCATCTTGTGTTCTGGAGGAGGCTGTTCTGTCAAATATATATGAGCATATAATTAAACTCAATGACAATTTTTGAGCACAATGTAGTTGAACAAAAATTGCATAGGAAATTACAGATTTCCTCCTTGGTAGTTATCATCACTGCAACCTTAGCCTGACAACTCGTGTGTACATCAGTGTAAGTTACATGATACTATTTCTTTGTTAGATTACTATTTTATTAAAAACTAGGAAGTCATGTTCACAGTTGTTCAAAAATGAACCCAAATAAGAATATTAAGTACTTCTAATCATATGTCTTGGGTAACAAACTCCACATTTCTTGTAAGGCAAATAGTTTCCAGTGCAGAAAGCTATTTGAGCCTTACAGAAAATACAAAAACTGTTTACAGACATCTTATTTGCTCAGTTCCACATAGCAAGAGCATCACTGTTGCATGGTAGTGACAGATAAACCCAAAGCACCCTACTGTGTCACAACTCCTAAAACAGTGGTCTTGGATAACATCGAACCTTAGTTTAGTCAGGACCATCAGAATACTTTTCAGAATAGAACATAAATATATTAGAGCACTTCATACTTACCCAGCACAATGAACTGCCTCTAACAAACTACAGATTGCCAAGACACTTTGCAATGACTAGCCTTGCAATTTATACTTGTAAAAAGCAAAGAAATTAATGTTTTTAACATTTCTTTTTAAAATGTAAAAGTATATTTACCTGTGATATTTCCCAACATATCTTTAGTGTGGCTAATCAAATCTTCGCTTTCCCCATCTTTGAAGTTGCCTATTTCTCCATAATAAAGAGCAATCCCAAGTTGCATTATACGTATGAACATAGGAAGCTGCTGATCAGAGATTGAAAGTTTCAAACTTTCAACTAATGTGTGAATCTATAAAATGAAAGAGAGCAAAGCAAATAATAACAAAGCTCTGTCATTATTACGGCCAACTTTTAAATCATATTCATTTTGTATGAGCATTCTAATTTCTAAAAACAAAATCTGCAATACAACACAAGGCAAAGGGCTGCAAACAATAATTGTCAAAAGTATATGCTCTTTGGGCTGCTGCAGAAGCGATCTGCAGGCTGAAATGTCAGATGTAATACATTTGCGCATATATATATAAATGTTTTGGTTGTTTGTTTACAATTGTTGTTGAAGAAATTTCTAAATCATAAGTCACATAAGAACATCTGATTAAACTTTCATTTTTGTTACAGAGTTTCATAAAAGTCTTTGCGTGCTAAAAGAAAACTTAAATACACTGGTTTTAATATACAAAGTCCTTCATTTTGATTCTTTCCCATCTTTTCTTTCTTCACCTTTGGACCATTATTCTTTGGATCATTATAAACAAATATTAATTCACTTAAATATTAATCTCTCATCACATATCTAAATGTTTCAATTAAGCACATCTCTGAATATGTTCAGAAACAGTATCTTCTTGAAAAAGCAAAAAAAAAAGAAGGTGAGAGAAAGAAAAAACATTAAAAAAAGATTTAAAAGTAAGTAAACTATGTAGAAAATGAAAATACCTAAGAGTTTAGATGGGTGGAGGGGGAGAAGCAAAAGACGGCTTTGAACCAGCTGAAATATGCCTTACAAAGGGGCAGGGGCAATAAATGACCACAAACAAAGATAACTAGAAAAGCTTAATACAAACTTAATTAAATTACTACTGCCTGAGAGTACTCTAGTATGTTTTTTATTTTAGTCCAGTATCCACTGAAAAAATTAAGTAATAATGAAAAAACAATAATCGTCATTTTTACAACAGTATCATTTTAAACTATATGGAAGACTGTGTCAGTATTTCCATTAATGTGTGCTGTCAGAGGTTTATAATTTGATCATAAACTTTTGCTCTGCAAAACTGGCATATAGGACTTAGCCAGGTACAGATTATGTCTCCAAAACTAACAGAACTATATGGTTAATTTAAAAATCAGGCTTTTTAACATTAAGATTCACTGTCGATATGCAGTAACCATACTGTCACCACAGAACATAAAGACCGTAACTAGTAAACTATAGACAGTCCTATGATGATTCGTTATTATCACTGGAGTTCAGAGATATTCCATAGGTCCTACACCTGGTCAGAGCAATCCCAGGCACAGCTACAGGTTGGGCAAAGAAGAGATTCAGAGCAGCCCTGAGAAGAAGAACTTGGGGGTGCTGGTTGATGAGAAAATGAACATGAGCAGGCAGTGTGTGCTTGCAGCCCAGAAAGCCAACCGTATCCTGGGCTGCATCAAAAGGAGCGTGACCAGCAGGTCGAAGGAGGTGATCCTGCCCCTCTACTCTGCTCTTGTGAGACCTCACTTGGAGTATTGTGTGCAGTTCTGGTGTCCTCAACATAAAAAGGACATGGAACTGTTGGAACAAGTCCAGAGGAGGGCCACGAGGATGATCAGGGGGCTGGAGCACCTCCTGTATGAAGACAGGCTGAGAAAGTTGGGGCTGTTCAGCCTGGAGAAGAGAAGGCTGCATGGAGACCTCATAGCAGCCTTAGAATATCTGAAAGGGGGCTATAGGGATGCTGGGGAGGGACTCTTCATTAGGGACTGTAGTGATAGGACAAGGGATAACGGGTTAAAACTTAAACAGGAGAAGTTTAGATTGGATATAAGGAGGAAATTCTTTCCCGTTAGGGTGGTGAGGCACTGGAATGGGTTGCCCAGGGAGGTTGTGAATGTTCCATCCCTGGCAGTGTTCAAGGCCAGGCTGGACGAGGCCTTGGGTGATATGGTTTAGTGTGAGGTGTCCCTGCCCATGGCAGGGGGGGTGGAACGTGATGATCTTAAGGTCCTTTCCAACCCTAACTATTCTATGATTCTATGAATACATAACTTTTTGTTTATAAAACTTGGAATAAGGACATGTTCCAAACTATTATCAGTTACCCTGAGCCAAAAAAAAAAAAAAAAAAAAGAAGTATCCAGCATTTTGTGACAATTATTATCTGGATAAAGACTCATATGGTCACTATCATATCCACAAATTTCCAAATTTGCCCAAAGTAATCAGAGGCATACAGCTGTGCAGCACATACAAGAAACAGGGGCATTCTCCAAATTGGACATGATTCCTAATTAGCTCCCAACCTTAAGTTCACAACAGCCTAGGAGTTCCTAAACCATGAGCCAAACAAATGCAGTATCCCAACTGAAAGAGTGACACTTTCACATCATATTCTTGAGAAATGTCCATCAAAAGTTATCTCAAAATTGACTATTTTGCAGTGCATACACCTGAAGCTTACCTTTTATTAAAACAGGAAAAGCCTAGTATACTGTGCCTTAATTTAGAAGAGTTCTCAACTAATTAAATGGGCACTACCAGCATTCATCGAGAAAGGGGGAAATGAAGGGAAGGAGGAAGGGAAGAGGAATCTTACATGTAAGACTGCTCAGAGCAGAAAAAGAAATGTAGGAGGGAAAGGTATTTTAGTCTCTCCACCAACCCAGGGTTTCGCTTCTGCACTGCAAAAAGCAAACATCACCTCATGTCAGGTGTCCACAAGTAATATTGCACCCCTGCTCACTGGGAACTGAGCTTGGCTTGCTAATCCACTTCACATGGTTCACTTCTTAGCGTTAATACGCTGAAGTTTCTTGTTATTTATGAAAGTTTAAGCTACATTTGAAAGAACAACATAAGTAGAAAATCATTTCCATCTCATCGCAGGCATGTTGGGCTTTTTTTTTTTAACAGATTATCTGTAGACGTCGCTTTTTCCCTTACAATTATTATGTTTTCTTTTTTAAAACTTCAGGAAAAACAGAACATAGTAGAGAGCATTACTTCCCTCTTTACATGCTGTTTCTGTGCACAGACTAATTGCATTATAAGAACAAAACACAATCATGAAATCTCATTAACAAAACCCACCAGCATTAGCTTTTCATTTTACTTTAAATCCCGAAGTATATTTCGAAAAACCCTGAAAACTTCATAAGCAAGCAGCAAAATAAAATTTTGGATACCTACTTTAATAATAGATGGCATTTTGGAGTTGAGGTTATCGTAAGTAAAATGCAGACGAGTCCTGAAGGAACATTTGTACAGCAGAGGTTCCTGGTAAAATTCAATTTTACCACTAGCATTTCTCTTATCAAGACATACTGTGCAGTCAGAAAAGTTGATCATCTTCCTCAGTACCAGATCAGTGGCTTTAAAAGAAGTATATAGTTTAAAAAACATAACGCATAAGAAAAATAAGTTAGGCTACATGTTCTTATCTAGAATAAAGCAATACAAAATGGATGGGTGGCCATTATTTAAATCATGAGCTAAGTACTTGCTTATGTGACTAAAGAGAATAATTTAACCTGTCACAGACTTCTTCAGCTGAATACTTGAAAGTGAGGACAAATTAGTTACACCCAATTCAAATTTACATCCCTTCACTGTACCTTAGATCTATTTATAAAATAAGAGTACTGCTTCATGTGCAAGCATAAGACAAATAAATATTATTCTCATTATCCTCCAAGAAAGAATCTTGCAGATTTTCCCAAAAAGTTTTCCTTCGAATCTTTCAAAGCAAACAAAAGCTATTGCAGCAATCATAACATGAAACGTATTTTATAATTTTGTCGTATTAGATAATTCTAGCCAGAACAAAGAAATGTGTCCAGTGGTCAGGAAACCATCACGTAAATTCTCCATTCTAACAGAGATCTTCTGTGTGATCTTGGAGTACTCTTACTGTGCCCAAATTCCACCTCTACAGATGTCAGTAAGAACACCTGGACTTAGGTGCAAACACTGGTAATTCAAAGATTGAGACATTTAGACACTGAAGACCAAAACAAAAATAAAAAAGTTGTCATTTGGGGCTTTTTTTCCCTGAAAATACGAAGCAAGATGAAGCACATCCTGCAGTGGTATGCCACGCTCACTACAGTGTAGCACATTTTACTACCTCTCTAGACAGAGAGTTTTAAGATCTCACAAAGATTTGTAATGAAATGCCTTAAGATACTACTGCTCATTCACAAAAATAGAAATAGATTCCCTAAGCACTCACTAACAGCAGCAAGCATAAAACTGAAGGATGTTTGTGCTTACAGATAATAATCAATATAATTTTAATTGACTCTTCAAAATGAAGGACAAGGGAAAAACTGAGAAGAAATTAAAACAGGCAGGAAGTATCTTCTGACAAAGAGCCATTTTTATTTGATTTGATTTTGATATGAATTTGAATGCCTCTACAGTGATACCTAAAACCAAAACACATCCACTCACCAGAGATATCCATAAATGCTCGATCCCAAAACTCATCCACTGTATAGCATTCTGCAGAAGTAATATTCACTGAGAGAACAATATCATCTTCCACATACTTTAATATTAGATTGTTGATCACAATGTTGACATTGTTTACAACACGCCTGATCAGACTCTGAACATAACCTATAAAATGAAACAAATTCTTAGGAGTTATAAGGAAGACATGATGCCAAATTCATTTATTACCAAAATTGTTTTTTCCAACTTGTACTTTTTCTTTCAAAATCAAAATTAAAACAAACTAAGTATCACTAGCCTTTATTTATCCAAAAATCACAGGACTCAGAACTCTTTAAACATTCAGAGCAGTTAAGTCAATCAGAATCCTGGAAATGTAATAAACTATAGGGAAAAAAGTGTAACTACTAGGAATACGCTCTAGAATAAAAAATAGATTTTTGGTGGCAAGAATCAACTTTCAAACTAATTAAGAAAAAGGAAAACTACGGATTGTTGTACACAAAGAATTTTAATGACAGTAATGTTTTTACTTGAAAGACATTTAGACATAGGTTTGGAAAAATGAACAGCATTTCCTAGGTTACATTTCAAGTATACGTGTACTACACCTATTTGTTTTAGAAGTTAACTAAACATTAATATGCCTAGTACATTTTTCATTCTAAAAGCTAATATAGCCACATCATGCTCAGTGAGACCCCTGTGACACATAACAAAATCAATTGCTGTCAACAACCCAAATAGTAAGGACCTGCGCTGATGCCTGTTGGGAAGAAATCCATTTACATTTTTACAGCCATAATGTGATTGGAAAAATGACCTCGTCTGTGAATTCCCAGCATGCAGTAAACACTCATATTTTACCAACATGGTAAAGAAATTAAATACTGCACATATTCATGTCTTTTATGTATATTGAATGTAACTATGGAGCTAACTCATTTCTGCTGGGAAAAAAAATAAAACTAGAAATTTCCATGTTTTAAAATTTGTAACATTACTCACTTCTATCTAAAAATACATTCAATACATTCCATAGAGATCTAGTCTGGTAACTATGCTGAAAAAAAAAAGCCAGTTAATGATACAGTTTTAAATTCAGAGGCTTCAATTGTCTAAGACTACACCTTTTGGGGAGTCCATAGATAGCACTGACAGAAACAAACTTGAGGAAACAAAACTCAAGAACTGTCACTGAAGGCCATATAATCACCCAGTTCTTTGGCAAGGCTCTGACTCATAGGTGAGACCCAAAGAATCAAGGACCAAGGAACTGCCAGAGTTGAAGCACTGTCCATGGTAGCAAATTGTGGATGCCAAGAACCTTGCAATTCCAGGCAACCAGAGATTATTGGATCCAAGAGCTTTATGAGAGCCTCCAGATATGGCTCCTCAAGTAGCCCCTCCAAAGCAAGATGATGCTCTGCAGTACATTATATTCCACATGACAAATTTCAATATTATCTCTTGATTCAAGGCAAAGCATAAACTTTCTGTAAAAAGAGTGTTCAAGGCCAGCTTGGACTGGGCTTTAAGCAACTTGGTCCAGTGGAAGGTGCCCCTGCCGATGGCAGGAGGGTTGGAACTAAACAATTTTTAAGGTCCCTTCCAACCCAAACCATTCTATAATTCTATGAAAAGACAAAAAAAAGCCTCACACAAAAAACTTTAATGTCTTTAACCCATCTGAAATACATTCCCCAAGAAAGCAAACTGCAATTCATTCCAGTACTCTCAAATTTCATTCTTCTGCACAAAACACCTCATACTCCAAATTTTTGTACAAACTCAGAGACAACAGTAATCAAACATATAGTTCCTTGGAAATATTTACATGATACAAAAATGCCAAAGTTCAACTGAGCCAAATTCCACATCAGGAAGAGGGTTGGGGGAGGATGGTGGTGAGCACTTCTACCAGTAGATACAGGACTTGAAAAGAAACATCTCTCAGAATGATTACTCTCATAAAGAGAAAACCACACCTTTAAACTATTATAAGAATAGTTGTGAAAACAAACTGTCTGAAAACGTACAAGAAAAGGACTTAATGTGAACCACTGAGCAGTTAATAAGCAGCAGAAAACATAGTATTAAACAGAAGAACCAAAGCAGCAGAGGGTAAAATATAACACACTAACCCTACAGTTTATTTTTCACTCTAATCTACCACCAACTATAAATCAGTTCTGTAAATTTATTCAACAAAATGGAAGGAAAGGTATAAGGATTAACCACATTTTACTGCAATTTGATTCTATTTGATAATATTCAAGTATTTCACTCAACTTTACATGATTTGTAGGTCAACAAAGACATCCTAGTCTAACTTAGACACTCTGGCCACCTGAATGAAATTTAGGTATTTTACATCATTCAAATACAGCTCAGCTTCTGAATTATTACCTGGGGGTAAATCAGGGTCAGGAGAAGCTGACTGCTGAACTCGTCGTGGTTTTACTGCTGATTTCATGCTTTCCATGGTGCTGCGGTTTGTTGAACTGGAACCACAACTTTCGTGGTCTTCCTGATAGAGGAAAGAAAGCAGCTGAGTCAACCAAAAACAAAAAAAAAAGAAAATAAATATGGGGAGAACAACATGGTGAAGTTGTGGTAAACTAAACTTGTGTTATTATTTTTCCATCAATCCAGTTCTGTGCATGAGTCTAACTGCACAAATCATTACAAAACTAGCTAGACAACTTTAAAAAAAAAATTGTAATTAATACATTCACTTTTATTTTAAAAAAATCATTTAATTATTGTCAATTGAACACTTCTCATTTAGCTGCATTTCTGCTGAAATATTCCTTCAGAGACACAGCTCTGCAGACTACCAAAACAAATACAAGAAAATACTGAATTTTATGAGCTCACACAGCTACACATGAAACCACCTCACATGGTTCCAAGATGTCAGTCATGTCCTTCTTCAGCTAATTGAAACTGACTCACAAAGCAATATATTTTTGCAGACTTTCAGGATAGCTCCAGAAAAGATACATGAACTGAGGACACCTGCTCATCTTGGGCTTATATATAGCTTATTCACCTGAAGGAATTCAGAAGCAGGAAACATGGCTCAATTAGAGTAGATGATATGAACCTTGCAAGGTAAAATTCACAGACACAAGAAAATCTTAATTAGCTGAATTCAGAGTTTTAAACACCTCACTAGTATTCCCATTACATTCCAGAATGACAGTTTAACTACAAAACTCAAGTGCAAGAGAGCCAAGAAAAGTAATGCAAATATTCTTGTATTAGAAAAGCAGGTTAGAAAAGAAGCAAATTACAATTTTTGGCCCAAGCCAAACTATTTCTTCCATTGATGCAGTCTGTTGTAGAAAAGGAACAAAATGCTCTCTGAGTCACGGCACTACTAGGATCAACAATGCGTTCACAAAAGAAGGGTTTGGGGAGCAAATGTCAAGTACTGCAGTATGAAACTGTAATATTCTGTAAATTCTGTAATCACCAAAAAGCAGACAGCTTAAACTGCACTGAGTTTTTGTATAGGATAGATCATGTGTTTCCCTGCATGCTGCTTGGTATTTATAATACTTCTCATATTTCTCTCAGAGAAATTACAAAATGGGATCCTCACATTACTTGCTTCTTAATAGTTTTATGCATGCAAAAATAGAATAAGAAAATAAAAAGTTACGTTACATGTAATGATGCATTTTAAATAAGTCTACAACTTCAAAAACCATTGAACAGACAGTTTCTTTCCTTCCAGTCTGTCTTTAAAAAAACAGAACTCAAAGGGTAATTCTCTGATAAAGCTGAAATATCATTTCAGTAAGAAAAAAAGATGAGCAGTATAATCTTAGTGGGGCGCATGGAGGGGAGCAGGGAATAAAGCTGAGTTTATTTGAAGAAACTGCAGAAGACAGAAGATAGACCCTAGATAGCTTCTAAAACAAGGCTGAGTTACCATTTCAGGCACTGGAACCGGCTTCCCAGGGAAGTGGTGGAATCACTGTTGCTGGAAGTGCTCAAGAACTGTGTAGATGAGGCCCTCAGTGACATGGTTTAGTGCTGGACTTAGCAGTCCTGGAGTAATGGTTGATGATCTTAAAGGTCTTTTCTAATCTAGTTGATTCTATGATTCGATGTGTATTTTGTAATTAGGAAAGCTCAGTTCCCCTTCATGTCTCCAGCTTACTGAGAAAACTTAGATCATAGACTTTTAAGCTAAGATTTCTGAAATATCTTTTTAACTATACCTTCTTTCTTGGAAACCAGTGCATATGTAGCATGAACATATTTTTTCAGATGAGTCATGCTGCTATTTATGTTTTGAACTTGCAAAATACCCTCAGGATGTCAGAGTGACCAAACAGCTCAATTAGCACATTTCCTCCTTTCCTGAGCACACTTACGGATTGCACAGAATGCTGTGGTGGGACTATTTAGTGATTTGATCTGATAGGATCACATTACGCTTGCCTTTTAATATTTATGTTGGCTATGAGGAAAAGAAGGGGGGGGGCATGAGGACGGGCAAGGCAGTCTATTTTTGAATTGTTGATTGTATTGACTAGATTCAAGAGTAAGTTTTCTATCTTCATACTGACATGACCACATTAAACGAATCTTCTCATAACTTCATGCAAAATCTATGTGATACTTTAACCATACAGAGTATAACTAATGCTTGAAGATGAAATAAAGGCAGTTTACACTTTTACCACTTTCAGAGAGTTAAGAAAACATACTAGCACACTGGGTTTTGAGGAGGTTTGTTTTAAAGTAAAGTGGCGAGAACCCTTAGACTGTGTTAATTTTGAAGGTCTCCGAGCTTAGCCTATAAATAAGTTCTATACAATAAGCTTTCTATATTTCCCTGATCTACAAGTCTGTTGCAATGGAAAATGGCTGCAACCATTTAGAGAAGTTGGACCTAAAAGCAACCAAAACAAAAACATACATGCTCCAAGATGATGCCATAATAAAACACAAAATTTTATCTCAGAAATCAATCCACATCAAGTAACAGAGCATACCTACATTTAAGAAGAATTCAACCTGACCAAACATTTGAAATAAGTTTTTTAACCTGGGATAACATCCATTCATCTCCTTGTATTACACAATTATCAAAAAGGTTTTAGAGCTGTACGGACTTTTTTTTTTTTTTTGCTCCTGAACACACACCAATTTCCACACAGCTACTAATACTTTATAAAACAAATGTTGTACTCTTTTATTACGGGAAGATGATAACAGCGGCCATGACCTTACAGGAACTACATTCCTATGGAGATACATATCCAAAAGCTTTCTGTATCTGCACGCTCCTGCTCAATGTTAACTTTAAGAGCACACTATTAATTTCTCAAACGTGGCTGCCTCATAAGCCCAGAAGTAAAACATGTTCATTAAAGGGATGGGAAAAAGTTCCAAGCAAACTGCCAAAACTAGCATAATTATGAAACTATTTAACACTGGAACCAACTAGAGTCACACACTGTGTCTAGATCACAGTGATGTCATCAGAAACACTCAGCCAAAAGGCACTAAAACTACTGCGCTCCCATAAATCCACCTCACACCAAATGACAAACATTTGAAAGTTAAAGTCAAAATTATACTGGGGGTGGGAAGGGAGTTACATTCTGAAAGTGCTAATAACTGTAGCTATAGTATGAGATTTGATAAATGCCTGTTCATTTTAGCAGTAACAAGTGATTACAAAAAACAGTCATAACATCGGAAAACTAAAATATTCACGATGTATCCAGAGAGATGGTTTTTAAAGAAAATGTCAGTCATTTACAAAAATATGACACAAGCTAGTGGGAAAAGGTAAGTAAAGCCCAGAAAACTTAAAAAAATTTAACATGAGGTCCTGCCTATGTTATACAAATATACCTTGGATTAGGACAAATAGAAGGTTGCACAGCCCTGCTCCTTCTTTTCTTTTGGCAAATGCACCAGAGCAGGTACTCAGATTAGATGTTTTTATAGAGCACTATGGTTACTTCTAAAACTATCTGAGTCATAAGTAACATGCTAAAGACACCTAGGCTAGTAAATTCACGTGCAAGTTCCTCAATTTTCTACTGCAATATAAAACAGTTACTGCCAGATTTAAAGCAAATTAAAGCTGACAACACCTGAACACATAATAGATGAGGGTTATTACCATCTTTCCTAACAGGCGAAGCTTATTATCTTTGTTTTTCTGTTTTCCAAATTCAAAATGCACACTACTTTTTTTCTTTAAAATGACACTTTCTCATTTTAAAATACATAAATGTGCAAGGCCTCCAAAACACATCTTATGCATGCTTTATGCGAAAATACTGCTTCCTTTTGGGGATCACTTAGCTATTTATGCAAATATAGTCCTGCTTTTATCAAATCAAGTTAAAGAAAACAAGTTCTTGGAGAGGAAAAAAAAAAATCATAGTACACTAATTTCGCAACAAGATTTCTGCTGGCTAGCATAGATCAAGCATTACTTGCAAACAAGTCAGCAACTTTACTACAATCTCCGTAATTCGCTGCACAATTATCCTGCAAGGAAATCCTTACTAAGAGTTAATAACAAACGGAAATATGGAGACAGAAGATTAATATTATTTTTCTAACAAACAGCAAACTAGCATAACAACAATGAAACAGAGAAAAGTCAGTGACCTGAACATGACATCTGTAAGTATTTTTGAAAGTGTTAATAGTCTAATGCACATTAACTTTAAAATTATATCGTGTATGTATACTTAAAAATGACAGTATAAAATACAGAAGATTTAGCCAAATCAGACTGTGTTACTATTTTGTAGAATTATTAAGGCATTCTGTATTATATATGGAAATTACACTTTCAAATATCTATTCAAGACAGGCCATTTTCTTTCTTTTGCTGTCACAAAACCCGATTTTGAATCTTGTTGAACTGGCAAACCACACAGAATGAGTGTTCACAGATTAAGCTCTCTCTCTAAGGCAGATGAGAACATGATGGAAGACCTTTATTTTCCTACTAGATTCTTTTTTTTTTTTCAATATTATTTCCCTTAGGAACATGTCAAAAATAAACTATTAAAATTATGTACTCCACTATGAAAGAGAAATACAAAGGAATTTGAGGAAGAGATGCAGTGGTAACAAACCTTGATGAGTGGGGGAACCAACAAGGGTAACCTGGTTAAGAATAATGGACAAACTGGAGCAATCAAGAAATAATTTAACAAGGTCTTTGCCCATATTTCATCTTGTTGCACCTGATCTCAGCTGATGTTAGATTCAGAGGAAAGAGTATCAGCAGTGACCAGCAAGGCACACTAAAAGACCTACACTAGATCTACCTCTTGGCCTCTTATCATAAGCCATATTTTGTGAATTCTATAGTAGCATAGCACAATGTGCTCTGAAATAGAAGTATGAGTTAAAAATCCACGTGAAATCTGTGGACAGGCTGAAATGCTGCCACAGCACCCCAGATGAAATCCAAGAAGCTTGTAGCAAGTTTGTTGCAGTGATCCTGCAGAATGTCTGCTGTCTGCCTACTGA